CATCCACTTAAGGGAGACCCCCCTACATTAGCCCCGCATGGTTTTGCCCTATAAAAATAACCTGAAAGAGACAGCTTCCTGGGCAACTTGCTCGGGCCCCCCTTCTGTCCCTCTCCAACAGAAGCTTTCCTTTCCAATAAAGTTTTACCCTCAACCTCCATTCGTTCCTAAAATTCATTCTTCAGTTTTAAAGAACACGAACTCATCCAGGTCAGTTAGGAGTTTCACTTCCTTATATCACAAGCACCACCTCTCAGGACCTGTATGTAGAAGTTCTCGTGGGTTTCTTCAAAGGACACACTAATGCCCTGAAGACTTTGCTATCATATAGCTTTCCAAGAAAGCCGACACTATTTTTCCCAGATGTACCATGTTTTATCTTTGTTCCTATCCTGTTCTTCTATTTACTCAACCAAAGCTCACTCTACAAAGCCTTCTTTTCTTTTACTTTCTTGAATACACTTTGCCAAGTCAGAAAGGGGACCTTTGGAAAATTTTCTTGTAAATTTACCTCGCTAGAGTCATTATTTAAAAAAGAGGGGCCAAGGACATGGCTCAGAGGAATAAGTGCTTCCCTGGAAAGTGCAAGGGCCTGAGTTCAATCCCCGCTTCTGCCAAAAAAAAAATAAAAAATAAATAAATAAATAAATAAAATTAAAAAAGAGCAAGCTATATCATAAAACCTACCATCATAAAAACAGTATGCTATTGGTACAAAACTAGACATGTAGTCTAATACAACAGAAGACATAGAGGGGTTGGGGAGATGGCTCAGTGGAATAAGCACTTCCCTGGCAAGCGCAAGGGCCTGAGTTCAATCCCCAGTTCCACCAAAAAAATAGAACAGCTTTGTGCACCTTGAGAAAGGGGCTAAAAGCAAGTGCTAGAGAAAAGATAACATCCTAGGGCTGGCCAAATTACTCAATGGATTAAAGTGCCTGTTTAGGGCTGGTGAGATGGCTCAGTGGTCTAAAGCACCTACTTAGAACAAGCTTAGCAAAGCACAGGGACCGTGGTTCAATCCCCCAGCACCACATGCCAGCCAGCCCCGCCCCCTGGTGGGCTGAGCTGGCCACACACAAATAAATAAAATTTAAAAAATAAATAAATAAAAATAAAGTGCCTGTTTAGGCCGACGCAGCTGCCTGCTTACCTGTAACCTCTTGGGAGGCTGAGTAAAGGTGGAACACTATGAGTCCCACCTATGTAGTGAGACCCTGCAGACCCTGTCCTAAAAATACAAAAGGGAGAGAAGGGGAAAGAGGAGGAGCAGGAGGAGAAGGAAGAAGAAGCAAAGAAAAGATAACATCCTTGGGGCCGGGGAGATGGCTCAGTAGAATAAGTGCTTTCCTGGAAAGCATAAGGGCCTGAGTTCAATCCCTGGTTCCGCAAAATAAATAAATAAATAACATCCTTATCAAGTTATGCTGTGAAAATTGGTGTTATACTTAAGGAAGAATGAATCTGGACTGTATGTCTTACCCTGTACTAAAACCAAGTCAAGGTGGATCAAAGACATAGACAAAAAGGATAAACACTGAATTTTCTGGAAGATAAAATACATAAAACTTGAAGACACAGGCATAGGTACTCAAGAGAACCCATAATGTTCAAGAAATAATTCTCATGCAATAATTTCCAAATGCACAGTACTTATGATGGGTGGGTCTTTAGAGGAGAACAGAAACCAGGCTGGTGGGCATGCGTCTATGAACCTAGCAGGCTACTCTCTTTCTCCACCCTTCCCTGCCCTGCATCTTAGGAAGCTACACTTCCTTGATGTAGGACCTGTCTTACTGGCCGCAGCCTCTGACTGTAAGGGAGGGGCCAGGACAAGGCGGCCCTGAGAAAGAGTGAAGACAAGGTAATAAATTCTCCTTGCTCCTAGGTCGCCATCCTGATTAGCGTGCTATCTTCTGCAACACGCTACACCTCATGCTACACGGCCCCTGCCTGGAATCCTAGGGTCTCAATTTCAAGAAACTAATCTAGCCTTTGTCTCTTTTAGGGCTAGTGATGACTGATATTCCCCGATACTGGTGAACGCATTTTTGTGACAACTCATGGCCTCCTGTAATATTATCCACACTTCAATAAATAAAAATCTTCATGAATCTCTCACTCACGGGTGAGGGAGATAGCTCAGCGGTCTAAGAGCTTGCCTGGCAAGCTTGGACCCAGATTCCATCCCTGGTACCGCATGCTGTGCCGACCACCAAAATCGGGTGTGATGGTGCACGCCCATAAGCCCAGAGCTGGGGAGGCTGAAACAGGAAGATCACTACAAGTCCAAGCTGCGTAGCAAGACCTTGTACCAAACACATAAATAAAAAAAAAAAAAAAAAAAACCCTCTCACTAAAGTTTTAAGAATGCTGCAAGGTCATATAAATATAAATCTGAATTACTCACACTCAGACAGAATGAAATGAGCCAAAAAAGTAAAGGGCTTCTGCAAGTTTCTGGGAAAATCATACCAAACAACTGAACAATATAATCAGGGGGTTAAACACATTTGTTTCTGTCTGGAGCCCGGGAAGTCTAAAATCACTATATATCCTAAGTGCTTTTGCACATAACTCACAATATTCAAGCTATTTTAGGTAAGGCCAAAAGGAAAAACAAAACAAAACAAAATCGAGCTGGGGAAGGGGTGGGGTAAGTGGAAGAGTTAGTGCTGTGTAGAAAGGACCCAGGAAGGTTTGCAAAGAGAAACCTCAACCCAAGGGAGCCCCCAGGAGGTCTGGGTCCAGAAAAAGCCCAGAAAGGAAAAGCACAGGACTTAAACAAGTAGTTCCACGAGCTTGGTTTCTGATTCACTCACATGCAAAATAAAACAAAATTAAAATTAAAGTTTTCTTTCCCGCCAATACCTGGCGGTAGGCTGAGAGGGCGGTGGGTTGAATTTGAAAACTCGGGACAAGTGAAGCTGGCCCGTGACAGGGAACCCCATCAGAAATCCACTCTCCAGTCGCGCATCCCCGCCCCGCCGCTCGCCCTGGAGACGCGTCTCGCCGCACCGGGCAGGGCAGGTGGCCGCGGACCCGCAGCCCTGGAGGAGACCGAGCGCCGAGTGTGCAGCTTCGGACGCGGGGCTGCGGCGGCCACGGGTCCCAGCTCAGCCCTGGAGTCCCGAGGCTGGGTCCGCACTCACCATTCCCGGCTTCGCTAGTGTCCCGGAGGCCTCGGCCAGGCTCCCACGACCACAAGTCACAGCTCCGCAGGATAAAGAAGCTCAAGTGCTGCAGGTGAAACGTGTTTACACAGAGCACGTCACAGGAAGGACTTCCTCCTCCGGGGGCGTGACTCCGGGCGGGTGCTTCTGCTGACCTCTGATTGGATGGTTCGTGTGGCCCCGCCCCCGCCCTGTGAGCGACAGTTCTGGAAAGAGTCCAAGTCTCCAGCAAGGAATTGGTTCCCCGATACCGACACTTAGCCTAGAGGTCACGCTTTGCACTACCCTCTCCATGTTGATCGTTGACCCTTGCCTAGATAGAGCCCTCCACCTATCCTGTCTCCAACCTGCAGGACAGCGATGGACGACTCTGCTTTTCGGGTTAACCTCCACCTCCAGCCTGGGCTCCGGATCTGTTCTCAAACCAGCTACCATCTATACAATGACTTTTTTTTTTTTTTAAGTTATGCTTTTTTTTTTTTTTAATGTTGTTAATGTATAAGTGATATCTTTTTCTCTTTTCATATCCTGCCATTTTGTTGGAAGTATATAATGATTTTTTCCAGTATTTATAGATTTCTTAATAGAGATATTGCCATCTGCACCTCTAAATGTTGCCAATTTCTGATCATTCTGAATTCTTTATCTTTCTCCAAATTATGGAACAAATAACAAAACTGAAAGCCAACTAAGTTGTGAAGAAAAGTTTATTCTTTGGTCTCAGAATTGATAGGTTTTCTTTTCAGGTGCACGGCACAACAGAGAAACAGGCAGAAGGAAGAAGGGAAAGGGGCTTTATTTTCTTTGAGGACACAGTGTGGGGAAGGCTGAGGAATTCTCTTGATTGGAACAAAGGCATGCTGAGGCTTTCATGGCCTTTGCCAGGAGTGGAGCTTGAGGGGGATGTTGAGATATACCTGAGGGAGCTGAATGGGTGGAAGTAAATAATTATACCCTGGGCTAAGTTGGAGAAGAAGGGGGAGGTGGTTTTGGGAAGATAGGTTTTTGTTTTAAGGGCATCGGCCATATTAGATGACCACTATAATGATTTTAGCAATTCCTAATAGGGCCAGAATGTATCAAGAATAAGAACAAGGGGCCGGGGAGATGGCTCAGTGGAATAAGCGCTTCCCTACCAAGCACAAGGGTCTGAGTTCAATCCCCGGTTCCCCCCCCCCCAAAAAAAAAAAAAAAAAAAAAAAAAAAAAAAAAAAAAAAAAAAAAAAAAAAAAAAAAAAAAAAAAAAAAAAAAAAAAAAAGAATAAGAACAAGCTAGAAAACAAAACAAGACTTCAAGGGTATCATTACCATTAAAAAAAAAAAAAAAAGCCTGCGGTCTTAAAGAGGAAAAAGAAAGGTTTAGTTAATGAGTAGGAGGATTACCCATGACTTTTTCCATGGAAGGCTTTGGGACCATCCTAAACGTTAGGGATTGCTTTTTTAGAATACTTAGGAGGGCAAGATGCAGCCTGGGACAGAAATGGATGTACCATGATTGGTCTGTCAGGTAGGAATTTTATTAGGATCCTAAAGTACAATAATATGGTGACAAAACTTGAGATAATCAATCATGTGGGACAGGCTGGCAAGATAGCTCAGCAGACTAAGCGCTTGCTTAGGTAAGCATAGGGACCAGGGTTCCATCCCTGGCACAGCAGTGCTGGCCCCACCCTGGGTCCCCTGGGCCAGGTAATGGAGTCCAGGTGTGGTGGTGCACGCCTATAATCCCAGCACTAGGGAGGCTGAAAACAGAGGATCACTATGAGTCCAACCTGCATAGTGAGACCCTGCACAAAAACAACCTTAAGCTGTCGGCTGCGGCGGGACCGGCAGGAATGGCGGCGTCAGCTCTGGCGGGGCTCAGAGCAGCCTTTGTACTCTTCGCAGCCCAGGTGGCCTGTGAGTATGGCATGGTGCACGTGGTGTCTGAGACAGGCGTCTCTAGAGGCAAAGACTACTGCATCCTGTACAACCCGCAGTGGGCCCACCTCCTGCACGACCTGTGCAAGGTGTCTCTCCTGCAGCTTGGTGACTGGTCGTCCTCCTGCTCTGCTCTCCCAGTGACCTCCCTGCTGGTGGCTTCAGCAACCAGATCCCTCTGGTGGCCTGTGGGAACTGCACCTTCTATGAGAAAGTGCGCCTTGCACAGGGCAGCGGGGCCTGTGGGCTGCTCATAGTCAGCAAGGAGAAGCTGGTTCTTCCGGGAGGCAACAAGACGCAGTATGAGGAAATTGGTATTCCTGTGGGCCTGCTTGGTTACAGAGACATGCTGGACATCTTCCGGAGCTTCGGTCACAAGGTGCGGGTGGCGCTGTACCCCCCCAGCAAGCCCGTGCTGGACTACAACATGGTCATCATCTTCATCCTGGCAGTGGGCACGGTAGCCCTCGGGGGCTACTGGGCTGGGAGCCAGGACGTGAAGAAGTACATGAAGCACAAAAGGGACGATGGGCCAGAGAAGCAGGAGGATGAAGCGGTGGACGTGACGCCCGTCTTGATCTGTGTGTTCGTGGTCATGTGCTGCTCCATGTTGGTGCTGCTCTACTACTTCTACGACCACCTTGTCTATGTGATCAATGACATCTTCTGCCTGGCCTCCTCCACCGGCCTCTGCAGCTGCCTGGTGCCCTGTGTGCGCCTCTTGCCCTGCTGTGGGTGCACGATCCCAGACAAAAGCCTACCCTACTTCCACAAGCGCCCCCAGGTGCACATGCTGCTCCTGGCACTCTTCTGTGTGGCGGTCAGCGTGATATGGGGCATCTTCCGCAATGAGGACCAGTGGGCCTGGGTCCTGCAGGATGCTCTGGGCATTGCCTTCTGCCTGTACATGCTGAAGACCATCCGCCTCCCGACCTTCAAGGCCTGCACGCTGCTGCTGCTGCTGCTCTTCATCTGTGATGTCTTCTTTGTCTTCATCACGCCCTTCCTGAGCAAGAGTGGGAACAGCATCATGGTAGAGGTGGCCACTGGACCCTCAGACTCAGCCACCCACAAGAAGCTGCCCATAGGGCTGGAGAGATGGCTCAGTGGTCTAAAGCACCTACTTAGAACAAGCTTGGCAAGGCATCAGGGACCGCAGTTCAATCCCCCAGCACCACATGCCAGCCAGCCCCGCCCCCTGGTGGGCTGAGCTGGCCACACACACACACACACACACACACCCCACACACACTCTCTCTCTCTCTCTCTCTCTCTCTCTCAAATAAATAAAAATAAAAAAATTTAAAAAAAATTAAAAAAAAAAAAGAGAAGCTGCCCATGGTCCTGAAGGTGCCCAGGCTGAACTCCTCGCCCCTGGCCCTATGTGACCGGCCCTTTTCCCTCCTGGGTTTTGGCGACTTCTTGGTGCCAGGGCTGCTGGTGGCCTATTGCCACAGATTCGACATGCAGGTGCAGTCCTCCAGGGTCTACTTTGTGGCCAGCACCATTGAAAGACCTACCTCAGTCACCATGAGCCCCAGCTGATAGTCCCCAGCTCCCAAGGGAGCCAGACAGCCCATGCCCCCAGCAGCCGCCAGGTGAAGAGCAAGCCAAGGCCCCCCTGCCCACTGAGCAGCCCCCAGAACCTTCTGTGTCAGAGGAAGAAGGGGCTGCAGCACCTGACCAGGAGCCCAGGAGCCTGGCACCCAGCATCCCAGAACCTATGGGCCAGGACTCGGCCTTGCCCAGCACCGCCGCCCAGCCTGGGATCTCATCCTAGGGAGAGGGACATCCAAGCCCTTTCGGCTTTGCATGGCCATCCCCAGCACACCACGACGCTGGAGCCATTGGCACCTGCAGGAGACACAGGACAGCCACGCCCACCAGTCGGCCCCATGCCAGCCCCCAACATGGTGCTCAGCCCTCGGCAGGGCCCCATGGCCCTCCTGCCCTCGCCCAGCCTTGCTAGCCTAGCTCTGCACACTTGGCCGCCTCAGCCCCTCCAGCTCCACAGTCTTCCATCAGGTCCTCCTCTTGGTCACTTGTACCATCTGCTTGCGGCCGAGGCCACCATGTCTGGTGCTTTACCTGCTACTGCTTCCTTTTGGGGTTGTCCTCCCTGTGGGGACACAGCTCTGGGCAGCAGAGGGACAGCATGCTGAGCAACCACCACTGTCCATGTGAGGTGGGCCGTGCAGAGAGCGTGCCCAGTCCAAGCCACACAGAGAGCGAGGCCTGCAGGACTCAGGACCCTGACTGGTGAAGATGAAGGACGAGCAGATGACTGTGGTCTTTCCAGGGCCCAGAGCGAGGACCCACACACCTCACTCTTAATAAAGGGTCACTGCTCATTAAAAAAAAACCTTAAACAAATCTTTCAAGGGCCAGTGGTATAGCTCAGCGGACTAAGCGCTTGCTTAGGTAAGTACAGGGACCAGGGTTCAATCCCTGGAACAGCATGGTGCACCGGCCCCATGCCCCCCCAGCGGGCAATGGAGGGGGTGGTGCATGCCTGTAATCCCAGCACTAGGGAGGCAGAAATCACGAGGATGACTACAAGTTTGAACTGCGTAAGTGAGACCCTGCACAACAAAACCCTGTGGGACAATGCTAGGACAGAAGGCTAGGTGGAAAATAATTCTCTAGATACAGTAAGCTGTTCCTCTTCTGTAGAATGTAATATTTCAGCGGACCTGTCCTGAGACCCTAAAAATATTTACATGAACAAGAAATTATAACAAAGAGGGGCCGGGGAGATGGCTCAGTGGAATAAGCACTTCCCTGGCAAGCGCAAGGGTCTGAGTTCAATCCCCGGTTCCGCAAAAAAA